CACACTCAGCAAGTGAGCGAAGCTGTTCAGGGTGTTCGTGGAGCCGAGCCAAGGAAATGACAACATAGTTCAACACTGAAATAACGTTGCAGTTAAATTGTACTGAACACGGAAGAATCTTCCACAAGGGTACACGTTAAAGAGATTGTGACCAACATGGATTTTACATGGATTTTTATGATCTTCAGTAGTTAAATAGATCTCGGGTTCAGGAAAGTTGAACTAATAGCTACTTTAATGAGTAATTTATTATTATTTTATAGCGAACTTGAACTTTTTTTGATAAATGAATCAAGCATTAATGATTTAAAATGTCACATAAGGAAAAAATTATTTTAATAAAATTTAAATTACAATAACTGATGACCTAAACTGCATCTTCAATTTGCCCATTTGGTCTGACTGGTCAAAAATTGTATCTACAGTGATACAAAATTTGAAAGTCTTAATGTTTTATTAATCGCTCAATAGACTAATTACTATTTAATAATTTCAACAATGATTTTTAATTTTATAAAAGCTTTGTAAAAGCAAGTCCTAATATTGAATGAATTGTATGAATTATATATAATAATAAATAAACCAACTCAATGAATTCAGATACATTTTTGCATACATATTGAATAATAATACCACAGAGGTAGCGCTCACTTATTGCGACACCAGAGTAATAACAGTGTCAGTGATAGATGCTGAAGCATCTCCCGCATTGCCTCAGAGCAGATGTTCAATGTTTAGCGAATGTCAGTGTAGAAGCATCCGCAGTCCGGAGAGCAGCACATATGGACAGAAGGAGGAAACACACTATTTAACTAAATCTACTCCACACCGGCCACAAGTTGCTGTTATCCTAGAACCAATGTCATCCCGCTTCCCTGATGCTCTATTTTCAGCCCAGGGTCCTGAGCTGCTGAGAGGGGCTTAGTGGAGGTTGGGATCTATAATTCTGTAGTTAACATCTGCCCTGTATGCAAGCCTCTCCTCCTTGAATCCCAACTCAGCATCCTTATATGAAGAACGTTGCAACAAGTAGCATCCTGGCAAGTCCAAATATGTTTTTATGTCAAACGAGTTTGATTGTGGGTTTTCAGGTAGATTTCTGTCCGTCTATTTCAGCGGGATGAGTGAACATGACATAATATGGGATTTACACAGACTCAATGTCCCATCATCACTGTGAGCAGTGTAATCAATTATCAGAGGTCAATCATTTGTTAAAGAAAGAACTGTATACTGAACACATAACATGGATTAGCTTGCAGAGGCCACACACCCATGACAATGGACTTACAATCCTGTGAAATGTAGCTACCATCAGTGCAGAAACTCGTCCAAGTACTTCAATCTTTTTAGATGACGCTGGTGTCTGTGCAGCAGCAGAATGATGGGATGTGCAGTATTATCAGTCCAACCAGAATGAGGTGTTATTAAATTTGAGGAGTTCTCTAAATTAGGTTTGTAACATTAATAACTGAACGGCAATGAAACTGCAGAAACACTTAATTAATAATAAAATATAATGGCGGCCAAGGTCCTCATTCATCATATAAGAGTGGATTTACAGTCAAATAAATAAAGCCTATGCATGTGCCCCTCTACCTTTTAATTAATTTAACAATCACAGATAAGTTTGGTCAGAGAAAATTAAAACTCTGCTTGTTGCAACCATTAATCAACTGCGGCCATCTATCTGAGCACCAATGGTATATACACATACATTTTTGATAGTTGCACCCACTTTTACACTCTCACTTCATGCCCTGCTCTTACTCAGTGATTCCTAATGTTTTGGGGCCACTAATCAGATCTAATGGCATTAGTGTGGATATGAGCTGTTTCACTATTATGCAGGGTCTTTTTTAAATGAATCAGGATTTTAAAATGCTTCGTAAGCAAAGTAAGCAAAGCTAAAGGAAAAACATTATTTAGTTTTTTTCTTCTTTTACAATCCTTCTAATCATCTTTGAGATCACTTTACTAAGTCACCAAGGATCCTGGAATGTTGGGAACCAAAGCTGAACCCCTGCACCTCTTTGTGAATAGATTCAAAATAACAGACCGGTGAGGGATACTGGTTTTCACCTGGGTTCATATAAAGGGGAAGTGTATCAAACATGTTGCCTTGTCAGTGTACTAAGTGAAAGAAGGCTCACCGAGAACAGTCTGAGCACATTGGCCACCATGATGGACACCGAGCTGCCAGATGCCCCGATCACCCCGACCACCCTCTCTGGCTTGGGGATGATGGGGGGCTCTCCGTTCGAGCAGCGAACGTCCGAGTTGTCCTTCTGGATGAGGGCCTGGACAAAGGTGAGAGACTGCTCCAGGGCATAGGTGTCTCTGGAGCAGGTGTCCAGGATCCGAGCCCCCAGAGTGATGTTGGGCAGCAGGTCTGGGTCGCTGTTGATTTGGTCCAAGGCGTACAGCATGGCCTCCAGCCGGTGGATCCCCTTCTCTCTCTTGACCTCCCCGCAGGGCACCCCGGCAGGCCCTCGGGAGTGCACTGGAAACAGGCCCCCCAGAGTGATGTCACCCTCGATTTTGATGGACTGGGGCTGGGTGCCCTGCTGAGCCCACGAGCCAGGGCTAGTACCCAGCAGCAGCAGCACCCACAGCAGCCCAGCCCATGTCTTGTGTCCGCATAGTGAACCGAGCCAGGAGCACTGATGGGACGAGCGGTCCTCTGATGTCATGATTATGACCAGCATAGGTACTGACAGCACCAGGCCACTCCCTCTACGTTTGACACCTGCAGGGGACAATCACAGAGGGGCTTCAGGGTCAAATCATCTTCTCATTATAATCTATGAATTTATCATAATCTGTTTTTCACAGACAAAATGCAATAAGATACAATAAGATAAGATAAGAAGTCCTCTATTAGTCCCACAATGGGGATATTTGCAGTGTTACAGCAACAAGAGTCAAATATATAATAAATCAACTTTTCTCAATAAGTCAACTCTTATTACTCTTGTTATTATTGTTTGTATTTGAGTTTGATCTGTCACACCACTGAACGTATATAACAATGAATCACTTAGATCACAATGCTTTTTCCCCCCAGTTTTACAGGTTTACATAGTGCGTATTGACACACTATGTAAACCTGTAAAACTGTAAAACTATTACAATATCATGTTATGTATTGACATAACATGATATTGTAATAGTAAACCTGCCAATGGCTCTGTGGAGTCAATGAGGTCAAAGCTGAAGCTGCATCCCTTATTAGGTAAAAGAGTGTAGAGATGCTATGGGACCTCACATATTTTGTTACACTGCACCTGTACTCTGACATCTGCATTAGTGAACTAAATCAGGGCTAAGAAAAATAAGAAAACGTGAAAATAAGATAAATATGTATGTGTGTGGCTGAGGAGCCGATTCTGGTCAGTGTGCAGGATGCCGCAGAATTAATAATGGAGGCTTTTATCACAGAGAGCTGAGAGCCCATGACGGAAAACACTATAAATTTTGCAAAACAGAAAACATCAACTGAACCTTCGTGGCATTTCATGCTCCAAAAGCTACAGCAGGTTAATTATATCTGCATGAGGATCACTGACAAAATCCACAGTAATCAACTGAGCTTAGCAGAACATTCAGGGTGAAGATATGTCTAATGTTTCCAGGCAGGATTAATTCATTAGAAAATATATGAATGATCATTTCATTAAAATCCAAATATATAATATATTTTATTTTGCAATCCATACTTATGCTACATTCATATGAGGCTTCATCTTTCTATGCTCACACTGGGCTCATGAAGTTTAATTCATTATAATTAGTAGAAAATATTCTCTAATCCATTAGAGCATCATCTGAATATGAAGAAATCTAAGCTGCATATTCCACAGCTGTTGCAGGAAAATTCTTCCCTTTGAAAAAAACATTACTGAAAATATGCATGAAGAGGAATTCCTTTACATTAAGACTTCTCACCTGCCCATTCTTCATCGACCAGTCTGGATTTTATCCATCACACGAGCTCCTGGACACAGGCCTCTATCCATGGTTCCAAAAATGTGATTATATATGTAGAGGCAAGGCTCCGCTCTTCTCACCAAAAAGTAAATCCTCTATCATCTCAGACAGCCACCGTGCACTCTCAAAATCACCACATCACCAAAAACAATAGTCAAAAAAAAAAGGAGAAGTAGTTGTGATTTATAAGACTTTTGAGGCTTTAGGGTATCGTATCGTGGCAGAGTCAGAGGAAAGTGCAGAAAAAGAGCAACATTATAGCAGTGAGATTCTACAAATCACTGCCAAATCCCTTAAAAGCTCTCTCCCTCTTTCTCTCTCTCTCTCTCTCTCTCTCTGTGCATCTCTGTCCAGGCACTCCCCCCTCACTCTCTCTCTCTCTCTCTCTCTCTCTCTCTCTGTTGAACCCTCTCCTCGCTCGCTCTCTCAGTGCACTAATGGCCACAGATTGGGATTATCATGCAGGCGTCTGTGAAGAAAGCACTAGGTGGACTGGCTCATATCATTTTTTTTTTTTCCATAAGGCTGAACCAAATGTAGAACCCGTCCCTCCCCCTCTGGTATGATGGACCTCTGTCACTTTGAGAGATTAGATGAGCAGCGATTTGATTCATACTCTCTCTCTCTCTCTCACAAACACACACACTCACACACACACTAACATGTCTTACACACATACACACACACACACACGTTATCTCTCTTCAACACACCTGTCAACACTGGCTCACTGGTGGGGTATATCCGAGCAGAAAATAGGTATGCGCGCCACAGAATGCAGCTGAATTAGATTTATTATTGATTTCAGTCAATGCTGTGGGAGAAGCTGCTCCCCCTCCTCAGATCAGTTTGCAGCTCATCATCTGTCAATTAGGAGCTCCATCGCAGCATCACTATCGCCACCTACTGAACCAGCACATGTGCACAGCCCAGAGCAAGCATCACCTCCTCTTATTTTATGTTGAGAAAAATAAAGCACACAACACAAATTATGTTATTTTTAATTTTAAGTGAACATTTGCACATATTGGAAAACCACAATCAGAATCAGATTTTAAAGGTAAATGTGTAAAAACGACTGGACTTATGCTTCATACTGAGCTCAGTTGTGTTCTTACACTATCTCTTTTAATCACAGTAACAGTCTGTTTCATGTAGCCGCCTGTCAATGGCCTCATCCCTTCCTGTCTTGGAGAGGAGGGGACTTCTGCAGACAATCCAGCTCTTCCTAAAACCCTCCTGAAAGATTTACATTGAGGGAGTCGCTGACTGCAGTGGTGGAGAAGACAACGACTCCCATGATCCCATGCTACTCCAAAATGTCACCAAAATCCATCTTATATTATTGATTTGATTGCAAGGGCAGCAGAAAATGACACAATGTGAGTTTTAAGTCTGCTCAGTGAACCCAAGACATCAGAGATCTGACGTTTACTAGTGCCTGTGTTAAATATGAGACTGATAGAGAACTACCCTAAGAAGACAGATTTCTCCAAGCCGTCCTCCACTTTGGTGTACTCCAGGTGAGATTTGAAGTACTGGCTTTTGTATTGCTGGCTGCTCCGGACGTACTCCAGGTAGTCAGGAGTTCCGGGGCAGATGACGTTGTCCGCCAGCAGGACGCTGCCTTTCCTGAGGAGGCCGCACTCCTGAGAATAAAAGCAAAGTGAGCGCCATGGCAGAACAATGAGAAGTCAGTTAGAACAACATGAGCCCAAGGAAACTCACCTCAATCAGTTTTGTGTCAGGAAGGTAGCGATCCTTCCAGTGATCCAGGAAAACCAAATCAAATGTTTGAATCCCGAACTGCTCTTTCAATTTGGGGATCCAGTCGCCAGAGGCGCCTTGGACTAACTGCACCTAGAAGAGAGAAAGACACCATCTTCTGATTCTGACCTGCACACACAGTAAATCATGGATTTTTCTGTTTACGTAGAGACATCAACCTTGTCGTCAACTCCTGCCCAGGCAATGACTTGATGAGCAACTGCAGCATAGTCTGGGTTAAACTCAAGAGTGATGAGTTTGGCGTGAGGGGGCAGCAGGCTGGCAAGCCGCACCGTGGAGTAGCCACAGTAGGTTCCCAGCTCCAACACAGTGTGGGGGTTCACCTCAGTCACCACTGAGTCGAGAATGCAGCCTGTGGCACAGAAACATGCACATACAGCTGGGTCATGTGAGGTACTGACTTCACACACGAAAGCAAGCAGAAACAAACTGCACCTTTCTCATCCCCCACATTCATGGCCCACTCCTTGTGTCTGCAGAACTCATCGATGGCTCTGACCACGCTGCGAGGGTCCCCTCTAGTGGCGTTCCTCTGAACTGCACTCAGGAGCCGCTGAGGAGAAGGAGAACTCATCACTCATAGTTAATAATTAATTCATTAATGCTTAAAAAGCTTAAGGTTGCCATGTTTGACCCCACATTTAAGTGATAGGTCCCATTAGGCTGTGCTCTTGTTCTTTAAACTCTTTTCATTTGGATTTTATAAACACATTACATTAAAGGTACAGTGTGTAGAATTTAGTGATATCAAGTGTTGAAATTGCGTGCCACTGAACACCCCTCACCTCACCCTCCCCTTCCAAACATGAAAAAGAACCTGTGGTAGCTTCAGTTGTCGCAAAAGTGCTTAGTTTGTCCAGTCTGGACGACTGTAAATATAAAGTATTTAAATATAAGGGCCCATTCTGCGGTAAAGAAAACTACAATTCATACAATTTAGATGAAATGAACTAGTGAAAACATCATGAGAATTATTCTGCATTAAATTTCTGCCATTAGATCCCTTTCACCTAAATCTCACACACTGGACCTTTAAGAAACAATTCTTTTTTTCAATTAGATTTTATTTGTATAGCCCTTAAATCACACATTAATTATTTCAAGGCACTAATAAGGTCGAAATTAGAAAATATTGTAGAAAAACCCAACAGTTCCCACTACAAGGAAGCACTTTGGTGAAGAGAAAAACTTATATTTTCTAACCTCTAGAACTAGACTCAGTGTGGGCGAACATCTGCCTCGACCGGTTGGGGTGTGTTTTGTGACCTCAGACTGACATAGTCTTGTTATGACTGACAATTTTATCATATGTATGTTTATCCTTACCTAACAGTTTTAAATGTTTGTTTTTTTTACATTACACTGACTTGAAACGTGATCTGGTTGGTGGTGAACCAGGAGCTTCAGGTTTGTGCTCCACCTCTTCGTGCTCTGCCTGGTGCCCCATCCCTTTCTGGTCTGTCAACTCTGCTGACCAAATAAAGCTAAACTGGCCTTCCTCAGGCTAATACTATTTTTTTGCAAAGATTACCAAAATGTCTAAAGAAGACTGGTTAGTTTCTAAATGTCAACAATAAATGCCATCTTTTATGAGGGCCATGATTCCAGTGTGTGGCCACCTCTCTACTTGCATTGAGTTGAATTAGGGGCAGTTGGACTCATTCAACAACATACTTATTTCCCAACATCTGTGGAGTCATATGAAGCCATTTGTTGGTTCGTTAATTCTTCTGACTCTTTTCAGAGTCATTGGAGTCACATGAGGTTATGTGTGGATGTAAATTCTCCTGGATTTGGATGAAATGATGGTGTTGTTGAAGTAGTTTGTAGATGGATGATTTCTGTCCTCCCTGTTATCCCTCATAAGAATACACTTGTTGTCCTAGAAGGAGTGTCCCTTATCTCTCAGCTGAAAGTAAACTGCTGCTCTCTGCTGCTGAGTCACAAGCACAAGTGAACAACATTGATAACAACCCAACAGATGTTTAATACCTGATTTTAAAAAAGTCCGTCAAAACTAAAGAAGCCTCTTGGATGATCATGAGGACGAATCATCTTTAAGATCAACAATCCTGTCCAGTAGCTGATCAGAGACTATATATACAATATCTGCATCCATCCATTATCTATAGCACTAATGGATCTAAGGGGGCTGGAGCTAATATATACATATACATACAAATCTTGATTTATTTATTTTTTTCTTTCGATTAATGTAAGACTGAAGAAGCATGAGCCTTAAGGATGTAGTCAAAAGAAAAGAAATACAAAGCAATTGCAAATTCACATATTTGTACCACGGTCTATACCCACATGATGCTAAGACTGTGATCTGTCCTTCCTTTTATGGTTTATAAATTATACTGGATATGTTATTAGAAGTTTTTTTTCTTATCCTCATGAACTGTGCAACAATTTTCCATGAAACTAACAATGTAACTTTGTCTGGTATTTAGAAGGTGATTTGTTTTTTGGCCACCAGTATGTTAAAGGTGTAAAAAATAACATTAACAAAAGCCTGGTTACAGTTAAGTAGTGGTTGGATGTATCAAAGTACATATATAAAATATATTATATAATATATCAGAAAATATCTGTACTTTCTACATTTTTACAATGCACTCTTTCACATGTTAACGAAGTGCACATGCAGCAGCGGCATCTCTTTTTTAATCATGAAGAAACGTTAATTTGGTACTTTAAGTTTTACTTGAGAACATTATTTTGTACTTTTGCACAAGTAAATTGTTTGAGTACTTCCTCCACAAGAATGAAGAAAGTGTAGCAATACAAAGATTACAGAGTGAGTGCTCCTCCAAGTGAGAAATTCACTTTGTGGGTCAGAACACTGTATTCCACTGTCTGCTCACTAATCAATCATGTCATTCATTCCATTCATTCACCTCTTTTTGATAGTGTCAGAAATAAGTGATTATCCAATATAGTCAATGAGCTACTTATGTAAATGATTCTCTGAAGTAAAATACACACTTGGGCTTTTTATTCTCTCTTGTTATATTATTAAGTTATTCCAATTGGATCATGGTGGAAGAAGCGTGTTGGACTCCTGAATGAACAATTCAGATGTTATAACATTTTTGTCCTTCTCCCCCCAACACAAAGACAACACATTGTAACTGTCTCTCAGAAACCTGTCCTCCTGTGGGTTAATGACATTTAGATGTTATAAGATAATAAGATAAACTGAACATATGTGCATGCATATCAGTGGATGAATGTATGGTTGAATCTTTATATCAATGTGTGCCGTTGTCATTAATCTCATTAACCCTAATTTTATGAATTCTTTTAATCCTTTATTATTATTATTTTCTTTCTTTCTCCCCTCACAAAGCTACTTTTTACTTTTCTTATGGCCCCTGTCTGTGAGGAGTTTGGGTGACTGGATTTATGGGATTGACTCAACCACTAAAAGTTTGTTTTACTTTGTTTTCCGATGTACACTGCTCTGTATTTTTGGAAAATTCCCCAAAATAGTAAAAAAAAAATATTTATTTAAAAAAGGACCTGTCCAGCCTCCATAGAATAAAAACAGAGGTCAGCTGGGACTTTGTTGAAGTGTTCGCAGACCTTTTGCTTCTTTTGCTGCTTCTTCACGTCTTGTGAATTTATTTATTTTATGCTTTCTCTGACCCAAATCAACAAGTTGAACCAGAAGAATTGTGTCTTGATTTGTTTTTTATTCTCCTCTCTGAAACCAATAACAAGAACTTTTGGAAATTTTTGCCAAAAGCTTCTTGATGATTTGTAGCAAAGTCAAGTAGTTTGTCAAGTCAGTGCCTGTTCTGACACCAACCATGAAATAGGTCAGCTACACGCCTGCTTCAGACAGACACAATGAGAAACATACTGTGCTTAGAAAGCAAGAGTCTGCTGGATTAGAGCCCTAAAGAACCCTGATATCACTTCTCCTAACCAAACAACGCTTTACATATTTTCTCTTTTAGTTTATCTTGTCTTATGAGAACTTTTAATTAAATAGTGAGTGTATGTTCCTGGGCTGCAGATGTCCAAGATGTGTTTCTGTATACTTGAGTATGAGATGTGTTTGTGCAAATGACTGATTTAGTAAACTTATAGAATTATAGGACAATTTGTTACCAAAGCACAATGTTTCTGTTTTTTGTAAACTGTTGCTATTTAAACATATAATTTGTGTATTCAACTTTGTTATGTCTTTGGGAAAATGTATGCAAATGAATAAAACTAAAACCCTGATAAAGCTGAGACGGCTTGCAGAACTCATGTCACCAGGCATCCGACAAAGCCTCTGGTACATTCCACCTTTAGTCGACATAAAGGTTACCAACCAACTACAGCTTTGTGTTCCAGTCAGGCCCGTCTCCACAGCACACTGACACTGATTCAAGTAGGTTACACCCATTTACTCTCATTCTGCTCTTAATGACGGGGTTGTTGTGGTATATAATCCTATGTTCACATATGTTATCACAAAAATACAGAAAAAGAATATTTAGTAGTATTTCATTTCATTAGTTTAGAATATTTTGCTGATGGCTGCCTCATCTCCAGGGTTTTACATGGCTGTGCATCTCCCTCACTGGTCAGTTTATAATGCAGGGGTCTGTGTGAGTGTTGTATTGTATTGTTTGATTTCTATAATGTATTTCAAGCATGGATTATAGCTTGATTCTATCAGGTGTAGTGTTTATTTATGTTATTTTTCATTGGCCATAGTGTTTTAATCGTGTTTGTTGGTTTTGATCATGTAAATATAATGCACATGAAATATCCATACATATTTGTAGTTATACACAATAGTTCATTTTATTTTAATTCTTTTATTTTCTTGTTAAAACTGGATTTAGGGACAACAGATTAAAATTGGCTTATGCAGCTAAGTTTGGTTTACAATTTTTTGAGTGTTGATTAATGAGCACTGTAAATAAATAAACTAATTAAATAATTACCACATTATTAATATACAATTGCAGTATATTTCAGTATATATCTTTGATTATTAATCAGTCATTACAATTCAATCCTATCCAACAATAGTAGGACATTATTGATTTTTTTCCTGTTATTTGGACCTGAGTGTTGAGTTCCTTTTCAAGAGTAGAACTGAGCTCAAGTGAATCAGAATTATTGGCTTTCTTGTCTGAAACTGATCAATTTGATTACATTGAATCATGCAGGGAGTCGTTATGCTGCAGTGTGTTAGGTCTGCTCTTATCTTAGGTGAGTTGTGTGTAGTGAAGGCCCACCTGAGGACGAGTGGACTGGGTCAGTGTGTCCAGCATCCGCTCCACGATGACATCATGCCAAAGCAGCGCCAATCCTCCATGATACTGAACAACGGCAGGGATCACCCATCTGTACAGAGCATACAGAAGCGCTGCTCCACCGGTGCAACTGTAAATAAGAGTCAGCCACATCCTGCAGAGTGCATAAACATAATGCTGCATTCACTGTGATGAGAGGCCGTGATGAATGAAGTACAGACACAGTGCAATAACAAGACATCTGCATGAGATAAATGAAAGCTCTCTCGTATCTCCCCTCACCCTCCCTTTGTGTCAGCCTAATGAGATGGGTGTTTACTGTGCAGTGTATAATGCTGTCATTGCTTCTGTTTTCATTATCTGCTGCTGCTTCAAGCTGCACACGCACACACATCCCAGTGAAAAGATATCACTGTAGGATATCATTTAATATCAGCTGCAATAAGCACTGGTAAACTCACACACACACACACACACACACACACACACACACACACACACACACACACACACATACACACACCTAATGATTTATGTGTTGATTTCCCTTCCCTCAGAAGCAACTGGTCTGTTTAGATATGTCAGATGAAATGATGGGGGATGAACAGAGCAAATGAAGGAGGAGGGAAGAGAGAACACGGGCTCCATGTGTGGGAAAGCAGTGAAGAGCACGGCTGGAAACAGCTCTACCTTGCACTAATAATATAACTGTGAAAGACCAATGGTGGTTGAGGTAATTCCTTTTGATCTGGAGTTTGAGTTGCATGGCAACTGGCTGAGGGTTAAGAGCTGTGTCACAACAGGTAGAACGAGCACACAGACTTTAACCTTTACTTTGGCTTTCTCAACAACAAGATTCAGACACTGAAGTGCAGCTTGATAAACGCACACATATATATATGTTTTATCATCGTGCAGACACACAATGGCACAATACCAAGTCACATGATGTGCAACCTACCAAACTGAAGTCAAATCATATGCAAATCACATCATAAAAAGTTCTCAAATAAAGGAACAGGATGGAGAACAAGAATAAAGAGGTTAGAATGTGCTTATAATTGAAGCTACAATGGATTATCTGTTGTGAAACTGGCATATCTGAGGAGAAAAGCTTACTATAATACTGTTCTATAAGCTTGTCTTCAGTCAAAAACAGGAATTAAACCCAGTCTGAGCCCTGGTCCCTCTTGAGCAACGTGCAAACACTTATTAGTCATAAAATGGACAAATAAAAAACACGTCCTGTAATCTTCCAGTGTCTCTCATGAAAACCTGACAGTAAAATAGGACTTACATGTGCGGGCAGGAGCCACTCCCTCCTTTCTTCTCACCCCCTCGAGCTGAGAGAAGAAAATCTGTTTTTCCAACTGCTAGACATATGCTCGCCTTCTCAGAGACTAACTCCTCCCTCCTCTTCCTTCCAGCCCCCAGATCTCTGCTGAATGTGAGCATGCAAGGAATGCACAACAGACCGAATCTCAATGGTCAGCGCGCGCACACACACACCCACACACACACTCACTCATTCAGGGATTGTTTCTCTCTTGCCATTTATTAGGATTCACTCTGCTGCAGCAACAATACATTTTTGTTATGTTTAGATGTTTAACCAGATATTTTAGTGAATAATCTCTGATCCTATATATCTTGATTTCATCATGATTACATTTTCATCTACAATGAGGAAACTGTAACAATGCAGGTCTTTTTAATGAAACAACAAATAAACTGTTTATTTCTGTCGTGAGTCTTTAATTCTCTCTTCAAGTTTTTTGAGTTCTGTGTGTATATAGAGATATGACGGTTCTCCAAAAGTGAAGCCAGAGTATCTCATCGCCCCCTGGTGGTAGGCTGCAGTGTTGGTCATAAATCCCATGTCCATGTAAGTGGATGGGACATGAGCCAAACTAGGTCATAGTACACTAAGGGATTTTTCTCAAACATGGTTTCTTTCATTTTAGGTAGATCTTAAAATGATGTTCAAGCATTAATTTGTCCAGTAACTTTGGTTTAATTTAGTTATTTGATACTATAAAAACGGGGTGTCATTATTGAAGATGCTGTTGCACCTCAGTGGTTTTAAGCTGTGGCTTAGCCTGTACACACCAAATGATAATATGTGACTCAGCCTGCAGGTATAAAATGTATAAAACGTGGCATTTTCTTGTGTTTTGGGTTCGTCTGCAGACGTTGAATTCAGGACAAGAGGAATTTCCACCACAGTCGGGTAACGCAATACAGTAAATGCAAAGGCACAGTGGCAGAGGGCAAAGAGGTGGCTGTTAGGAATATCAACATTTTCCTTAGACTTAATAAAAAAAATTAAAATAACTATAAATGCAATAGATTAACTTGTGATCCAATTAAAAATGAACTTCCATGGCCAGCCCCTTTTCTAAAATTGTCAGCAAACTCTTGAACTTCAAGCTTTCAGAATATTCCAAGGTCATAAATACCAGGGGGGCCTTCACATGAATTCATTAATTGAACATGGTAACACGGTCCTATTAGAAGGCAGCAATAAACCAGAACATCTGTGGATAGACTGACGATGGCAGTTCAAACATGTGCCCCATCTTAGGAAGTAAAATCCTATATAAAAGAATAGATACACTGCCCAAATCAAGTCATGCAAACCAAACCAAACCAAGAAGACAAAAAGCTGTAATTGTTACCAGTGTCTTCTATGATGTGCTGATAAAAGGTCTGAATACTGTGGTGAATGAGAGATTTCAGGTCTTGATTTATAACAGATACTATAAGCATGTTTCTCTGTCATTATACGTTACTGAGAATGATTGATAGGCAAAATGTCAATTTAATCAATTTACAATTGACTCTAAAACACAGTAGTGTGAGCAATTGTACCTGTTAATAACTACAAAAAAAATAAAAGTGATCTTATGTCAGTTTATTGAAACATGTTCGAAGGCTCTTTTCCAGGAATAACACATTCAAATGACACGTTACATTTTTTTATGAACAATGTCTAAAAGCCCAAGCAACTAAACTGGGAAAAGGCTGTTAGTGAAGCTACTACATATTTATGAAAGCTGTGCGCATGATGCCAGCACCTGATTATTCCCACAGCTGCCTGGAGTCCTTTGTCACATCCAACTTATGAGTCTGCTGCTGAACAGAGAGCTGATCCCCTGGGCTCTGAACAATGCAGGGCCGCTGTGTCTAGGAGGTGATCCAGGGGTGTTTCAGACACTGGGCAGCGGTGGCTCTTTTTTCTGGCAGCAGCTCTAACATGGTCAAGAGGAAAGAGCTAAAGTTGACGGCTTCCTCCTGAGGCCACTCGTACTTATCTAGTAGGATTTCAAACAAGCTCCATGACTTCAGCTTTGAGATGTGTCGAAGTTGTCCTGGACAAGGTGGAAAGAAGACGTCACTTTTGATGATTTAACATTTTTTTCAAATAAATTGTTAGTATAAAGTTTTGAATTTACCACAAACATTCTGTACCATTGAACAATTGTGAGGGCTCCTCCATGATAAT